GGCCTTGTGTGCCAGACACTATGCTAAGGGCTAAGGAGTCAGGGTGGAAATGAAGACATGGACTCCACCTCTACAAAGTGTATACATTGATATGCGACTGAACCAGATTTTATTTTATTTTTCCCAGTGGAAATCAGAGGCCAATACTCCGCTTACCAGCAGATGTTGAACACTTGTCCGCGATAAAGTGATATGAAGTATGTCTAATAACACGAAAGGCACTCAGAGCACATCTAGTCCAAACATCTTGCTTACAGAAGAAGAGCCCAAGGCTCAGCGAGGACAAACGACTAATGAGAAGGAAGTTGAGTCTAAGGCCTGTTAGTGAGACTGTCCAGAGGTTCTTCCACTGAGATCCAGTAGCTTTCAGAAGCTGAGGGGTTCATTAGGACGTAAAGCCACCTCCATTATTTAACTCCCGATGACACTGGAGATTGGCCGACTTCTTCCCTCCAACTGCCTCCAGATAGCGGTTCTCAACCGGGCTCATGTGTGCACCAACCGAGAAGCTTTTAGAAAGGACCGGGGCTGCCTGTCCTACCCCCAAACCTCTTCCATCTCCTCACCCCTGCATGTCCCCCCTGCATTTCCCAGCCCTCTCTCTGAGTGAGACGGGTCTGCGGAGAACAGCCAGGGCCCGGACACGAGGGCTTTATGTAGTTTTGGTGCTGGGAGTTCATGGAGACGGTCATTTATAGACATGTTTACCACCTCAAAGGCGGAGGATGGAGAGGATCTGGGAAAACTGAGAGTCAGAGAAAGGATGGCCAGCGCTGGACCCATCCATGCCGGTGCACAGCCCAGTGAGTGCCTTGGCATGGGCCTGTCTGATAGGGGCCATGGGGCCACTTTCCTTGGCACGGTGCCACCTTGCGCGACACAGTGTTCAACAACACAGCAGCCTGTCTGCTTCTCCCCTGGCTGAACAGGGTCTGGAGAAATGGTCTTTAGAGCTCCTGTCTTGCTTAACATGTGTTGTATTCAAAGGAAGATGGGAAGGTCTGAGAGACAGTGGAAGGCTTTGGGCCAAGAGGCCTTTTAATAACCCGTGTCAAACCCTCTCAGCCTCGGTCCCTCCACAGTGGAGCCCAGGCTGCCCAGGTCACATATTACTGCTGTGAACGCGGAGGGTTCAAGTCGAGGGACCACAGGACATGGCCCAGAGCCTTTCTCTTGCTGGTCTGATTAGAGGCCCAACCTTCCACCGAGATCTGATTCAGGCCGGCACGCAGACAGCGTGGCTCTGCGGGGCTCCCAGAGGTTACCGGGCTTCCCAGCACGGAGGCGCTCAGAGATGCACCTGCGGGGACCTGACCGTGTCTGGAGGTGCCCCCAGGGGAGGGAGAGGAAGATGTGGCTGCAGTGACTTCCGGCCACAAACTCTGACAACTCAAATCCCTAGGAAAATTGCTGCCGCTGGTTTGAAAACAGCTTCGAGCGGATGTCATGCTGACGGTAATCAGATTTAAAATTAGCCCAAACGTGCCGGCATCAAAAGAAGCTTTAATTGCAGAGCCCAATCAGGAGACAAAACACTCCAGCGACAGTTTTGCTGACCAAGTAACTGGAAGGGTGAGAATCTTCCCCATGGAATCGCGTGGGTTTTGGGGTCGCGGACGCCTGTCCGTTCAGGCCCGCCTCCGCACGCTCCAGCTTTCCGAGTGAGTGCTCACACGTGTAGGTGCATGACATGTGCCTTCTCCCAATGCCAGGAGCTCTCATCTGGTGGCTGGACACGGCTTGTCGGGTGGGGAGCCCGCTGTGCAGCTGCTCCGTGGTCCTGCGCAAGTTTCCCTCTCGGAGCCTGTTCCTCCCTCGCAACAGGAGGGAAGCAGGGCCACATTGAAAGACCATCAAGATGTTTAAGATAAAATCTGCGAATCCGTTTTTGTTTCTTCTTCCCAAACCCAGATGTCTACGGGTGCCCTGAGCCTCCATGTCCCTAGGGACACGGCTGCTGAAATTGCTTAAGGATATGGGCCGTTGTGTTTGATGTCAGCAGGCAGACTCCCACCCCTCTGTCCCCACCCCCTATATCTCCAGTTCAGTGATTCTCAACTGGGAGGACTGGAGACATGTCTGATGGTCACAACTTGCCTGGGATGGGGTAGGGGACAGGCACCACTGGCCTCTAGTGGGCAGAGTGCGGGGATTGTGCTCGACATGTCACGAAGCACAGGACAGGCCCCCGCTTACCGGCCCTACGGCCCTCCCTCCCTCAGTAGTGCCAAGGCTGAGAGCCCAGCCCCAGCCCCAGCCCCCAAGGCTTTTGTTCTCACCTGAGCGCTTTGAAGGTGAGGAATGTGCCTTTACGCTTCCCTTCCTCATAAGGGGGTAAGGAGGGCTGGGAACACAGCAGAGGGAGCGCTCGCTCTCATCACAGCAGGAGGGAAGCGAAGTCTCTGGTAAGGAGGGCTGGGAACACAGCAGAGGGAGCGAAGTCTCCGTTCAGCTGGGCTTGGCCCATCTTCCTTCGCTCTCAGGTCTCCAAGTTGGGCTCTTAACATTCCCCCGACATCCTGAAATCCTGCAAGGTCTCTTTCTTTTTCTTTCACTTGAAGTACTGCCTTCAGGTTTTCCCCATTGGATACATGGGATTTACTTAAGTTTTTTATCTTTCTCATCCACTAACATGGACACAGAGAAACGTACTCATAGAGGTACCCGGCTGTGTGACGGGCCAGGGGACTTCTCCGGAAGTCATGGAGAGCGGCCTCATGAAATAAGATGCCAAACACTAGTCGCTTAACAGAATCACTGGCTGAGACTCCCAGAGAAACCTGGCTACCCTGAGGGTGAGACTGCGAATAGACTCCTTTTCCCTGGCTGGTTCCATTCACTTGGTGAGACAAATACATGTCATCTACAGTATATTCTCAACTACATAATATCTTGACATCTCTCACCTACATCTATTTATCATCTACATCTATGTATCTATCCATCTACCTATCCATCTACCTATCTATCAGAAATGCCTGGGAGGAGAAGACATTAAAATATTAATGATGGTTATGTTAATTAGAGAATATTTTCTTCCTGTACACATGCATCTGAATTTCCAATATTCTATGAGTATTTTATAAATCAAGAAACAAAGCAATACGCATTATTTAAAGTAGAGTTTGAAGAGCCACCTGGGCACGTCTGCCTGAACCGCACACCCTGAGGACTTCTCCGTGCATTGCAAGCGAGACGTTGGCAAGCTGCCGCTCCGATAGATGTGCCCAGCGGCCCCAGCTGAGGGACGCGTCCGGGGAACAGCTGCTCCAGTGATGACTGTATTTGGGGATGGATGGATTGTTGGTTGCTTTTGAAATGACTTGAGCCAAATGAAACCGCACGTAGGCCTGTTTATTTCTCCTCAGTCCACTCCCAGTAGGTGCAGACAAAGCCCCGCAGCGAGCAGAAGGAATGACGGACGGGCCCTGTTCTCAGAGGCGATCTGCCCTGGGCACCTGCTCAGGGACCCAGCACGTAGTGGGCTAGTGCGGTGCGCAGCAGTTCCGCCCACAGGCAGGCCTGCGGGGTTGGCCCGGCTCCCACTCCCCCGCTTTGCATTCTGCGGGAGAGCCCGTGGCTCTTTTCGCAGTGTAAGCATAAAAATGCAAGGCGCAGTCTCAGAAGCGATGGCCTCGCTCCTCCAAGAGCCACCAGTCTGAGGGGAAGTGCTGGGAAGCTGTTGATGACACAATGGCACCCGCTGAGGTGAGCGGGCGGCTCTTTGTTGCATTTGGAGCGTCGCCTCCCGAGTTCTAGGCATGCGCTTCAGAGTCTAACCTTCTCCAGGAGCGATCCTGGTAGCTTTTGGGGACCACAAATGAGGAGATAGCCACAGACGTTAACGAAGAGCAAATATACAGGAAGACAGACCACGAAAAGCTGGAGGACTCCAGGGAAATAAATCAGGTTTGCAGGGCACTTAGTCCTGGTGACCTGGATGAGGCCTAGGGATCCCGGGTGGAAAAGCCGCGGAGACTGGCTCAGGTGTGAGCCCAGCAGGTGAGGCCTGGGCAGGGCCACGGCAGGGACTGAGGACCCGAGAAGGCTGGGTGCAGGGCACAGCCACAGGGCTGAGACGCATAACATTTTTGGAGATGATGGAATCCACTAGCAACATGTGATGGCCTGCTCCCCTGGATCCAAATGGGAAGACCAAGCCCGGATCACAGAGATGATTAGCGTAAGTATCAAAGGCGAAGGGCCACCACTAAGGGGCCTTTTGAGTCAGTGTTGCCCAGAAGGTCAGAGGAAGGTCTACTCAGGCCCCGGTCCCACTCCTTCCTTACGGTGTGACCTTGGCGAGCAACCTGAATTTTCTGCGCTTTGAACTTCTCATCTGTGAAATGGGTAAGACTGCCAGCCTCCTGGGGAGGGAAATGATATCATGAACGGGGACACTGAGCTCCCAGCCCGCCACCAGGTGGTCAGGCCGTGGCAGCCAGGACCACACAGGGACCCCAATACAAGCCAGTTACAGAGATTTCCCATCATTCCCGGCACTACAGGGAGTACTCTCAGCTCCAACCTTGCTCCCATGTGCCTGTGGGTGGTGCCTGACTCCTGCATGTTGACTCAGCTTCCACGTTTGGCTCTTCTCCTGCAGGTTGGACCACTGATCCTGGGTTTCCAGGTAACACCCAGGGTCTGGCTCAGTGTTCAACGTCCAGCCCTCCCACAGGGGAGGTGGGGTGAGAGCGCCACGGGCAGGACGCTACAGGGTGAAATGAACGGGTCACATTTTCACACAGTGGGTCTGACGTTCTCTGAGTTGAGATGGTCCTCGTAGAAGGAACACCCTTTATTGACGCTCAGACCCCGTGGTGACCGAGCGATGCTCCCAGGCCCCTAAGCCAGTGCTCCTTGGAGTGAATATGCACACAAACCCCCCGATTCTGAGGGTCTGGGGTGGGGCCAAAGGGGCTGCATTTCTGATGGGCTCCCAGGCAACCCTGAGGATTGAACAGCAAGAACATAAGTCGCTACATCAACACGCCAGCTCCCCAACTCATCACAATCACTTTTATTCCACAGCATGTTTGAGGGAATGTTATTCTCAGGGAGATGTCCAGGATGAAAATAATTAAAAAGACTGGAAAGTACACACATTTATGTATCTCTTCTTTTCATTAAATATATATCTGTTTGGCAAAAAAATGTTAGACTCTTTTGTACAAAAACAAAGCAAAACAAAACAAAAACAACAATCAGCCAACCCAAACCCTTGCAAATTGTCAACACCTGTAATAACTACAGTGACGTAAACTTGATGTCCGACACCTCGACCATCTTGTGGAACCTGTGTGGCAGCAGGGCCCGCCCCCCCCGGGAGAAGGTGACACCAGACACGCAAGCAGTAGCCGTCTGTCACAGAGGCCTGGGGGTCGCAGGGGCCTGTGGGTCGTGGCTGTTAGAGATGGAGCATGACAACTGACTTCACCTTTTGTGCTTTCAGCTAAGGGGCCGGGATGGTGTGTGGACACAAAGAAGGCAGGTGCGGCTGGGGCAGGGGCAGGAGACCCAAGACTAGCTGGTGAGGAAAGGAGGCTGTCAAGGTCACAGTGCAGACATGGAGTGGGCCTGGGACCTGGGGACTGTGTCTGGGGCCCCAAGGCCGTTGGGAACTAGGATGAGGAGGCAGCTGCTGCTCTTGGGACCAAAGAGGAAGAGGGGGAAGAGGGCAAGGCAAAGGCTGGGCTGGAGAAGGGAGCGGATTCGAAAGCAGATTTCAATTCGTACAGAACGGGCGGTGTGAGCTGACCTGGAGAAGGAGATGAGGAGGCGGTGTTGGGTCTTCTCAAGTAGTTGGACTGTTTCTTCCAGACACAAGCCTTGCGGGGGGCCCTCCCTTGGTCTGGCGGGCTGGCTGGGGGCAGTCAGGAGCTGCTGGCTCTCAGATGCCAGGAGGGGAGGCCCTGCTTGCTGGGGTGCGGACGGAGGGGCCCTTTGGCTCTCTGACTGGTGGCGGGACTGCTCCTGTCCCACCAGAGGCTGCAGCAACGGGAGGTGACCTAAAGCAATGGCGTCTAGAAACACGATCAGGGCAGTGAGCTAGATGCCAGGCGGGGGCAGAAAGACGGCAGGTGAGGCCGGAGGAGGTGTGGGCCGCGCTTCCCTTTGCACCGGATCCCAAGGCATGGCCTGTGCCCCCTTTTGTCCCCCGCTGGCCGGGTTTCCAGTTGTGGGGGGTTTGGGCCGCCTCAGTTGCAGTCATAGACGAAGTCGTAGTTGCTGGGCTCCTTGGGGATGGGCGGGGGCGCGTCGGGGATCTGGACGTTCTCCAGGTCCAGCAGGCGGAGCTTGATCTCCATGCTGAGCAGCGTGTCCAGGTCGTTGCGCGTCAGGTCGCTCAGCATGTCCTTCCCCAGCAGCGCGTTCAGCCCGTCCGTCCAGATGCAGTACTAGGGGGAGAGGGGGGACAGTGACCACCAGAGACGCCGGGGCGGCAACCATCGCTAACCGGCTGCTCCCCAGGCGCTGGGCTCCGTGCTCAGCGCTTTCCCGCATCACTGTGTAAGACATGCACAACGGCTGCATCAGGTGGCCCTTCTGCTCCCATCGCTGCCTGCGCTCGGTGGTGTTAAAACATGTGCAATCGGACAGGACTTGGCTCCGGGGTTGCTACTTAAGGAACAGGGCGCAGTCCCGGAAGCAATAACCCACTGCGGGAGGCCACACCTCGCACCTTGGGCCCGGCCTGCTGGGAGGCACTCCTGGATGTTACTTAGCGGCTCCGGGAGGCAAGGGGAGTGGCCAACGTTCACAAGCTCCAGGAGCGAATGTACAGACCCTTACCCTGCAGCCACCGTTTGTCTTGAAAATCCAAAACCTTATTAGTGACAGCCCTGTACCAAAGGCCGGAGGCCATCAGGCTGTGGTGGAAATAGGCAAACTACTTGGCGGAGGACGGCGATCCGAAGACGGAATCGCTTGGCAGAGGATCGCGTAGCTAATCAGGGACTGTCCGGCAGCGGGTCCTGGGAGATTCCTGGCGGCTGTCGGAGGATCAGGAGCAACGGGCAGGCCCTTACAGCACTAGGTTGGACCTAGTGCCCAGCAGTCTCTAGAGGGGATGCAGGGGATGGAGGAGGAGGAGTGTCCCACGGCTACCACTTGGGGAGGACGTGGACGACATGGAAGGGGGTGGGGAAGAAGGGGCCCGAGAGGGCAGTGGCGGCCCAGCAGGCTGACCGGAACAGTGGTCCTCAGGCAGTGGGCGGGGGGTGGGGGCAGCTCATGGCCACGCCGTCCTGCCCGGCTCAGCACTTCCGTGGGCTGAAGCAGAGGAGCCGCTCCCTGGGGGCCAGGACTCAGCATGTGGCAGAGCATGTCCCTGCCCCTGACCCCGTATTTCTAGCAGTGACTTCATTTTCACATCGGAGCCTGACCAACCTGCTCCCCTGCTCCAGCCAGGGGGACCGCGGAGCCCTCGGGGAGGCCCACAGAGGTGCGGGGCTTCTGGGACAGCGCTGTTTACATAACTAATTTCTAAGTCTGGAAGCTTGAGGGAGAGACGGTGTTTTGCCTGAGATGTTGGGTGGGTTTGCAGGAGTCCCTGTCACCCGGAGCAAGAGCATCCTCTCTGGAGTGGGGTAGCCGCAGGTCGGCCCCTGCAGAGGGGTCCTGGCCATGAGTCCTCACCGGGCGGCAACCTCCTCCCTCCCCACCCCGTGCCCGTCCCAGTGTTAGCACCGTTGCAGCTGACGCTGCTGGTGTGCAGAGCGGCTTTCCTACTTGCTCATCTGGTGGCTGCCTATGCACCGGGGCCAGGTCGGAGAAACAGGCGAGATCTAGAGCATGATCACAGCTGCACGTGGGGAAGCAACGAATAAAACTGGTTTCTGTACAAAACGTTTTTATGAGAGTGGGTGTGATAACAGCACTGTCCTTAGGTTTCAAAGTGGACTGCTGATGACCTAGAGATGCACATGGAAATTCTTACAAATACAACTACATGGTATCTGGATGGGCTTCCAACATAATCTGGGGGGTGGCTGCTGGGTGTGGGTGGGCGGTGGGTGGGGAGACCTGCTCGAGCCTGTAGCCCCGACAGAAACCACAACACTTTACAAACTGGCAACTGTGGGTTTGTCTGTTCTCTATTGATTCTATTTCTGGAAGAAAAAAAAAAACCAACATACACGAACCAATGAGTGAGCCATGTGACTGTAAAACTGACCCAAAGCTCCCGTCAGAACGAGGATGGTGACCCTTTGTAGGCAGGGCAGGATGGGACCCCAAAACTCTTCTGTTGGATGGGCGCTGGGTGTGGGTGGTGCTGGAGGAGGTGGTGCTGGGTGGGGGTGGTGCAGATGGACTCAGACTGGCCTTGAGCTGAGAACGGCTGAAGCTGGTGCTGGGCACAGGCAGGAGCTGCGAGTTAGACCCCGCTCTCTCTCTCTGTGCAGCCACACAGAGCAGGGGCCAGAGAGCAGGGGTCTCCGGAGAAACACCCCCCACGGCTCCAATCCCAGCTCTACCGCTTACGACCTGTCTGACCGGGGACACGTGTCCCAACCTCTGCGCTGTTTCCCTCCTTCACGAATGGGGACACGACTGGTTCTCTCTTTTGGATGTTAGATGAGAGTCAAGTGAGAGGAAGGAGAGCAGCTCAGAGTTACAATCACTGTATCTCTCCTGCTGACGAGGTGCCCCCCCACCCGGTAAAGGGGCACCGAGACCACTGCTTCTGCTTTAGGCGTGAGGATGCCACTGAAACCAGGGAGCAGGCGGGAAAGTGGTCTGAAGAGGGTGACAGTGCTCACCGCACACAGCGGCTTTCCTCCCACATCACAGGCCGACACACACGCGGCCCTGGCGGCCCAGACTCAGCGTTACTGGAATGAGCGCTCCAGGGGAAAGCCCCCCACTGTTTCAGCAGCACCCCATCTTCTATTCTAGGGCACAGCGTGGATGAGGTGGCCCGCGCAACCACAGTTTCATTTCCAAAGAGAAACAGTGGGACGCAGAATCTATTTTGGGATGAGGACAAAGTCAGACCCTTCTGCAATCTAAATGTCAAGCAGCCCAGAATGACATGCAAGCACCATTCTAAACGCAGGCTTTGCGTCTAATCTCTCCTCTCGCTCTGGGATGTACAATTTTAGTCAAAAGCTTCAAACCAGTGAAAGCCGGATTCTGAATAACTTCCAAATGAGCGCCGCTCCCGGGGGGCCGGGGAACAAAGTGGGATTTACGGACACGGCCCCTCCTTTCTGAGAGCTGTTTATGCGGCCACACGCCGACCAAATCTGAATGGCGCCGTCTAAAAATAAGTCTCCAGCGTGATGCTGGATTCAAGCTTACAAGAGAAGAAGGTAAATCAACCATCGCTGTACTTCCCTTCCAAACGCACTTTCCTAGCTTCATGCTAAATATTTTAAATATAGCTGACAGCGTGCCTCCAGAAGAGAAACAAATCATACATATAACAGGATGTCAGAAAGGAACAAAAGCATCTCAGAAATAAAACCCGGCGGTGGAAACAGCCCCAAACCTCTCAAATAATTTAAAGAAAACCTCCCTTATCAAATGCATTTTTAAATTCTATTTTTCAATAGTATTTTACGTGAGTTTTGGGTGTATATAGTATTTTATTTAAAAAAATGTTTCTATTAATTTCAGAGAGGGAGGGAGAGGGAGAGATAGAAACCTCAGTGATGAGAGAGAATCATCGATTGGCTGCCTCCTGCCCACCCCACACTGGGGACTGAGTCCACAACCCAGGCATGTGGCCTGACCGGGAATCGAACCGTGACCTCCTGGTTCATAGGTTGACACTCAACCAGTGAGCCAAGCTGGCCGGGCAGGGTGTATACAGTATTTTAAAGAATAGAGACAAGTTTGTCTTGGGAAAATCCTGACCAAAAACGAAGTATTCCATGAAACCTCCTCAGTGGTACCCAGGGCGGCCCTCCTCTGGGGTCGCAGCGAGGCCCTGGCTGAGCCTTAAGCATCTGCAGACTCTTGCTTTACATGGACTCTTACTGCGTTGGAGGGAAGCTGGCAGGTTTTCAAGAGGTTCCCATTCCATCCCAAGTCTACAAGATGTTTCTTTGTTCACGGTTTTGCTTTTTTAAAAAATGAAATTTCTTTCTTTCCCCTATTTTCCTCCTGCTTGCTTTTCTAGAGAAAGTGTGATATCCTCTCATCAGTTCACCCCACCACGACCTTACCTCATGCTTGTCAGGAGCGATGAAGTTCAGTTGGCAGTTCGAGTCGTACAAGATGGAGAAAGCGAGTTCAAGCACCTCCTGCAAGAGATTGGAAAAAACACCCGCTCAGGGAAAGGGCCGTTCGTTCTGCAGCCTGAACAGGGAGCAGGGCTCCCGGTATGTCCTGAGAAGTGGCTGCTGTGGTCTAGGGCCATGCCACCCAAAGCTGTGGCTCTCTCTTCAGCATCGCTCCTCCAGGGGGACCACGAGAAGCTGTAAACTCCTCCCCAGTCAGCAGCACGAAGGGCTGCTCTACCTTTGATCACCTCAACCAGACAGATGCTCATAGGGGTGTGAATTTCCTAAAACGTGGTAGGTAATGATGCTTTTGGGTGAACCCATTATCTATAAGGACCATGTCTGCCCCTTGATCTCTGAACTCTGTAGAGCAAAGGCTACCCACCCTGGATTTTATACCACAGCAGCCAGAGGGGGAGCCCAGGGCCAAGGTCGGAAGCGCTGGGTTCATTCATTGGTGAGTGTCTACTGAGCGCAGACAGGAGGAGCCAGACACAAGGACCAAGGACCAAGGGACACAGTCATCTCATTGTAGCCGAGTGACCTGGGGGGAGACACTCGGTGGCCCGTCTAATATGTATGTTAACGTGCACTACTCAAGTCGTCTGCACTGTACAATATTGAGCACAACGATTATTCCGTTGGTCTGAGCTGTCGGCAGGGTGCAACCTTAGAAGAGAAGAAGTCACCGGAGGCCAGAGGGTCGGTGTGGTTGACCTTGTGACACTGCCTCTGTTCAGGGACACCGACAAGGAAAGGGGGGCTGAGGCATATACCAGTGAGGACGTGAACGAGGGGCACTGTCATGACCCAGATTCCCGATACAACAGGCAGGAAATGGGAAATTCGGGAGCATGTCAGTCCCTACTCTAATTTCACCGAAGCTGCCTGGGAGGGGAGGAAGGGGGAGGAATTAATTCTCCAAGCCGCTTGCCCGTCTCAAGGCTACTATCACTTATAATGAGTTTATTGATGTCTCTGGCTTGTTGTCATTGAGTTGTCGGTGGAGGTCAGCTCTTCTGCACGTGGTGCGGGCGGCTGCAGAGCTGGGAGCAATGACACCTCTCGGGCTAACACTTCAGGAGCTGCCACCTGTCCAGACCTTCTGGAGGGAGAGAGGTGCCAGGAGGTGGGGGGCACGCTGTCATGGATCTGGGGCAGTGTCCCCCTCAGGGGCTTCTTGTCACACCCCATGGCACTCACTCATCCATCTGAGCTCACCGCCTAAGATCTTTCATTCCCAGTGAATTTAATTCAGAGAAAACTGATGTCCAGGAGCAGCTCATGGCCATCCTTTGTCCCACTGATTCACCAGGCCCCCCTCACCGTGTGACGGGAGGCCCAGGAGGGTGAGTTCTGGGGACAGAGGAGCAGGAGGACCTGAAGTTTCCCCCCCTGCCCAGGGCCTCTGACCTCACGCTCTACCCTCTGGGCCTGGACCCAGGGACGAAGCACGGTGGGTCAGGGGATGCTCAGAGAAATTCTGGGCATGATGGCGCCTTGGTTTTGGCACTGTCATCTTCCAGGGCCAAATAATGGACTGAATGGATACAAGAGCAGAGATTTACACAACGTATTCTCAGTACAGTGTTGGCTGCCATTCCTCATCTTGTTTTGGGGTGACTCGCCTCATATGGCCACTTTGGCCAGAAATCACTTTAACTCTCTGGACTCTGTCCCATCTACCCAGGTGACCTTGAGGATAGAACTCGGTGTGCGTGTGTGTGTGTGTGTGTGTGTGTGTGCATGTACTTTTGTTTTTCCTCAACCATAGACAGGGTCATCCAATGCAGCCCAGGATTCCCACTACATTTTCGTGTTAAAGATGACAGAACAGGGATTATTCACTTCAATCCTGACTGATAGGTAAAATGCACATAATGTTTATATTCCTCATAGATACCAACAGTGAGCAGTTGAAGAGCAACGTACTGATCTGTACGATAATTTTTGGTACCAAGGTGGCGGGAGCGCCCTGATGGGTCTGGGTAATTCATTCACAGATGGGTGCTATATATCACAAGACGCCAAGAGGTATCAACAAAGAATTGGCTTCCTTGTGGCCCCTCCAAGATCAAATACCTCCAACCTGGGGGCCAAGGAAATTTTGCCTCTTTTCAGAGAATGCCCCTGGCACACGCTCTGGCGGGGCCGCGGGCTGTCCTGGTGAACAGCCAGCTGGTCAACTAGCAGGGGTGGGTGAAACTATTGTAACGTGAACAGGACTGAGGCGACATCCAGCTCCGGGGAAAGTCTCCGCTGGAAGCTGGGTTTGGTCTATTTCACAGTCCTCGTCACCATCCTGAGGCTGTCAGGCCTCAGACATTTTCTACGATTTTCCGAGTTGTTTGGTCTCTGCCTTTCCCAGGCTTCACTGAGACCCCAGTGATAACAGGAGAAAATGAAAGAGACTGGGGGGGCGGGCGGGTGGAGTTGGGTAAGGGAGAATATAAACACCCATGGAGGTTAGGAGAGGCCCAGGG